TTTTCTTTAAAGAAAACGACAATTCCGTAACTATTTAATTCAATAACAAACACAGCTGTGCACCTGACTTAGAATTCATAAAACTGGTTTTTGTATATGAAAAAAGTACATGATTTAATAATCTTTAGAATCGTGTAGCAGAACAGGCTGCTTTTACCAAAGAATAACAGATTTAGAGACTACGATATGACTGGGAAAAATTTTCACAGTTATACGTATATAATATTTTCTGTTTTTATAATGGAAATATGTATCAAATTTTGTAGGAACCTCGGTAACATTATATTTTAACGACAAAACTCCACCTTTACTCTTGTAATTTCAAAGCCATATGTTGCTTCAAGGGGAACAGCAGCAATCACAGGTTGTGCTCCATTTTCAAACACAGGAACGTTGTCGTTTTCATCACCAACTGTCACCAAAACTAAGGTCTCGTCGTACGCGAGATAATACGATTCTAGCTGACGTAGGCCCACTGCAAAGATGAAATAGTGTTTATTCCCCATTATTTCAAGTAATTAGTAAGATATTAATAACTAGTCGCGAACTTTTACCCAAAAAAATGTAGAGAAAAATATCCACATTATGTTTATAAGAATTTACAGGAAAATGAAACATGAAAAACAAAATGGAAAAATTGATGTCAAAAAATAAGGAAAGGTTAATCATTATTTTCTTTAATCTTTCCATTTCCCATATCCTATCTTCACCACATAAAAAACAACAACAAATTCTCGTGATTAAAAGCATAAGAGACTCAAATCAAATATCAGTTAAAACTCGATTTGATGCCAGTTTTCACCATCGAACTAGCTGAGCTGTTGAAAATTGATACTGCGCGAATAAACAGATTGTATCAGCTGGTTATTGTTGATGTTCTGTTACTTAATATGAGCTTAATATCTATTAGCATAATACTCAGCTTTTGTCTGTCCTGAAAATGAGTGCGCACCTTACTATCCAAATGCGCATGCGCGTGCACTTTATTTCAACGGCTGTAAACAAAAGGCGGATGTAAATGTAAATATACCTTAGTAGAGATTTTATACAACAACATATTAAAAGCTTATTAAAGTTTAAAAAAAAAAATAACGTTAGGTCTTAGAATAACATTATAAGTTTAGTTACTGATAGTATTAAGTACAGTAAAGTTTAGCCTTAACTAAACTAAGGTAAAAAACGTATATAAGTTATAGTTTTAGTTTATTTCTTTATCAAATATGGGCCGTACTTAATAAAGGCTTAACTGATGTTAGGCCTAAGACAAGTGTACTTAAAGATTTTGTGTCTGCGACTAGAATTCTTCTGTA